CAGTAAGGATGTAGAACAAATGGAACATTCATATGGTGTTGCTACTAAGAAGAAAAATAGCACATCCACTTTGGAAAACAGTATTGGTATATGTTATAAAATTAGACATATGCTTCCCATTTAACTCAGCAATCTCATTCCTAGGTTCTAACCAGGAGAAATAAAAACATATATCAACATAATGATTTGTACATAAGTGTTCACAGCAGCATTATTCATAATAGCCACAAAATAAAAACAACCCAAATATTGTCCACCAACAAAAGAATAATTAAACCAATCTTATTACAGTCATATAATGGAATACTTATCAGGAATAAAAAGAAATGAACTACTGGTATATACAACAACATAGATAAATAAGGGGTTATCCAAGTCTGAGGATAAGTGGAAGAGATCAACTACAAAGTGACACAGGGAAACTTTTAGGGTGATTAAACAGTTCTACATTTTAATTGTAGGGATGCTTATACAACTACATATAGTCACCCAAATTAACCAAGCTGTACATTATTTAATTGGGTGAATTTTATTTCACATGAGTTAAACACTGATAAAACTGTACACTTTTTAATGGCAAAAAAAAAAAAAACACACAAAGTAAAAGCAGAAATGAGGCAGAAAACAGAAAAAATAGTTGATCTAATAAATTAAAATCCTAATTTTTAAAGATATACTAAACTGTATACTTTCAAGTGGTTAAAATGATACATTTTGTTATGTATATTTTACCACAATAATATATATATAGAGATATATGTAGTTATACATATATCTATATATATATACACACACATACACGCACACACACTAAAACCAAGACAAGAGCTGGCCTTGGAGCATAGTGGTTAAGGGAGCCAGAACCCACAAGGCTGGCCACATTTGAATCCTGGTACCTGAAACTCAGAAAACATATTGGGTACGTGTGTATGCATGCCCAAAACCTGACAGGATGGAGAAATGTAGGAAAAGGGGTTTGGGGTGACTGCGCTCTACTGGGGGGTGGGTATTTGCTTTCTCTTTCTTTCTGGTAAGTGTACATGCCCTCTAGCAACAAAATTTTCAAAAAAAAACTATTAAGAACATAATAAAAAATGAAATAAAAAAAGCACTACTTGGTCTGATTAAGAAAGAAAGGAAGAAAGAACATGTACAAAGTAAGAAATAACAGAGGGAAAACAAATATTGAAAAAGAAGAAATTTAAAAACAAAAACTTTTATAGACCGCTATACATTTCATGTAAAAAGAATAATTTCTTGGGAACCAGCAGGTAGCGTAATGGCTATGTCGCTGGACTCCCACAGAGTCGACCACGGTTCGTGTCCTGGACCCGGTAGCTTAAAACTCACGCCGGGCGCGTGTGCGTGCGTGCGTGCCCAAGATCCCGAGAGGAGAATGGAGGAGAAGGCATTGCGGCGTGACCATCCCCCCTGGGGGGTGATTTCTTGCTTTCTGTCTCTATGTCTCTGTCTGTCTGGCGAGCGCACGCGCCCTATAGCGAAAACCTCTCCAAAAAAAAAGTAAGAAAAAAAAAAGAATAATTTCTTTAAAAATATACATTATCAAAATTGATCACATTAGAGATAGAGCTTAAAAAGATGATTTCTATAGAAGTCACGTTTTAATCCAACTTTTGAAAACCAAAGGCAAAAAGAAACTCTTGAAGGCAGCTAAGGAGAAGCAACTCATCATATACAAGGGATATCAATAAGACTATCAACAGAATCTCATCAGAAACTCTGAAAGTCAGAGGTAGTGGGCAGATACAAGGAGACTTCAGAAAGCTACAGAAAGAAGAAATTAAAGTATAAGTTTATTTTGGTACAAAAATTTTGAAATCTATGCATAGCTTCTTAATATGTATTTTCCTTCATATATTCAAGTGCTAAAAGAAAGAGGTTGTCAACCAAAATTCCTGTATTTGACAAAAGCCCTTCAAAAGTGTGTAAGAGCCTAATTGCTATGGTGTAGCAGTAATGCAAGTGCCATACCAGGCTGGAAGCTACATAACCAATTGTGAGTTCAAATCTCCAGTATGGCCTAGAAACATGCTGGGTGTGGGCAACCCAGAATCCTGAGAAGCCAGAGGGCTAGTTTAAGGAGATTACAACATAACAAGACCAGGTCAAGGGCATACCACCACCCCCTTTGCATGCACATATATGGATGTATACACTCTTTTTTTAAAAAAAGAAAACAGTAAGAAATTAATACATTCCCAGATAAACAAATGCTAATGGAGTTCATTCCCACTAAATCTGCCCTGCAAGGACTGGGAGGGAGGGAGTCCAATAGGACAAAATGAAAGGACATTAGACAGTAACTTAAATCTGTATGCAAAATTCAGATCTTAATAAAGGAAAATATATGGGCAATTACAAATGTTAACATTATTGTAACAATGGACTGTCACCCCACTCTGCTTTCTACATGATTTAAGAGACATAATTTTTATAAAATTAGTCTAAAAATTAATACTATTGTAACTTTAGTTTATAACTCAGTATTTTATTTTCTATACAATCTAACAAACCAATACATTTAAAATAATTATTAGTTTATGTTTTGGAGCATGCAATGTACAAAGCTGTAATACTGTGGCATCAACAAAAGAAAATAGTAGGGACAGAGTTAAAAATGAGCAGAGGTTTTTTTTGTTTGTTTTTTTGTATGTCACTGAAGTTAAGCTGGTATACAGCTATAAAATATACACAAGAGGAAATAAAAAGGGATTTAAATGTTTCTCTACAAAATAAAACAAAATAAAAGCAACTCAACACAAAAGATGACAGAAATGTAATCAGAGACAAAAAAAGTTTTAATACACATAGAAAACAGATACCAAAATGACAAAAGTCCTTCTTTCTCAGTAATTAATTTAAATGTAAATGGATAAAAATCTCTAATAAAAGGTCATTGACTGGAAGGATAGGTTAAGAAAACACACACACACACACACACACACACACACCAAATCCTACTATATACTATCTATAAAGACATTCACTTTAGATCCAAAGATATAAATGACCTGAAAGTGAAAGGATGGAAATGAATATCCTATGCAAATAGTAACTAAAAGTGAGCAGAGGCAGACACATTAGTATCAGATAAAACAGAGTTTGAATCAAAAAGATTACAAGAGATAAAGAAGGGCATTATAATATAAAAAGGTTCAACAGAGCAAGAAGACACAACAATTATAAGCATTTATACACTTAACAATATACCATCAAAATACAAACAGCAGAAATTAACAGAACTTAAAGGAAAAATTAACAGTCATAAAAGGCAGGCTTCAATATTCTACTCTCAATAATGCAGAGAACAACCAGGCAGAAGATGAGTAGGAAAAGAGAAAGAAGATAGATTTAAACTACACAATAAACCAACTAGATCTGGCAGATATATACAGAATACTCAACAACAGCACACATGTTCATCTAAAAAGCATATGGAACATACCCCAGGAAAACCATATGTCAGGCCATAACTTAAATCTCAACAAATTTAAAAAGAAGTATCATACAAAACATGTTCTCTGATGACAGTAAGATCAATTAGAAACCAGTAACAAAAGAAAACCTGAAATATTTACAAATTCGTGGGGAAAAGAAAACACACTCTTAACCAACAAATAGTTCAAAGAAGAAATCACAAAGGAGATTAGAATATACTTAGAAATGAATGAAAACAAACACATAACATACCAAAATTACAAGATGCAGTCAAAGCAGTGCTAAGAGGCAATTTTTAGCTATATTTTAAAATAAGTAAAGAGTCATATGATGACATAGCAGTTAAACATGATGCACTGTTAGGCAATTCCATACAGGAAAGTTCCCAGTTCACATCTGGAGACATCCCTATGAATGCTGATGACATATGTGCCTGTGATCTGGGGCTGGCTGAAGGCTGGGGTGAACTATAGCATCAAGACCCTGTTTGTGGTACTGTCTCTTTTTCTCTGTCTCTTGTTCATGAAGAAAATAAGCAGATGTTTGTTTGTTTTTTAAGTATTCTATGAGAAGCTATAAAATAACTAGAAATTATAGAGGGGGGCCAGCTACAAGAGGTAAGGAGTTCCTTAAGAGAAGCCCAGTCATGCGGACAAGCAGGTGGCGTGGTGGTTAAGACACTGGACAAACCCACATGGCCGACCACAGTTCAAGTCCTGAACCTAGTGGCTTGCTTTCTTGCTTTCTGTCTCTCTGTAGTCAAATTGAAATAAATGAATGAATGAATAAAAATAAAATAAATAATTTTTTAAAAAGAGCCCAGTCAGCCTCAAATACATAAAGTACCTAAGATCCAATGGAATGGAGGACTGGAGGAAGGGATTGTGGTATGACCAGATCCCTGTTACTCTCTCCCTCCCATCCTTTCTCTCTCTTACCCTCATATGCATGTATATGTGCTCTATCATGAATAAAGAAAAATAAATTACAGAGGGAAAAATGGTAATTTTGTAGTGAAAAAAATCTCAGCTATCACCTTGACCAAATAATCAAGGTTAACATCACCAGTTATGGAGACAAATCATGCACCTCCAGCTGTGACCCACAGAGGACACATGACTTTGGTATTATTTGCAATAAAAATAAACAACCTGAATTTAATCAAGAATATAATGCAAACCCAAATTGAGAGATTCTACAAAATAGAATCAAGTATTAACATGTTCCAGGTTAAAGTACACTAAGAAAAGGCAATATATGATCCCAGATCAGATGTGAACCTGAAAAAGGATTATCAGTAGGACAACAAAAACAAAAATGTGAATAAAGTCAAGAGGTTTGATAGTAGTAATGTTAATTTGATTTCCTAACTGTATTAATGTCAACTTCTTAGTCTTGATTATTGTAATATGGTTATATAAGATGCTAATATTTGGGGATCAGGGTGAAGGACACAGAACTCTATTATTCTTACATGATTTTGTTAACTCTGAAATCATTTCAAAATGAAAAAAAAATTTAAATATATATGGATATATAACCTAATACTCTGAAGTTCCCTTCTGGCCGACTCTTCTGCCATCTGTGAGGCCCGCAATTTCTCTTCACACTGATCCTTTTCAGATTGCCTCCAGACATCACGTTCCACTTTCATTTTCTCTAAATCTGCTAATCTGTTCTCAAGTTCTAGCCTAAAACAACAGATGATAATTATGTTATAAGAACTACAATAAAGATGATACAAAAGCAAAACATTTTCATTCCAAGGAGCCTTAACATAAACCAAGGTAATTACTTACTTTTCATCTTGTAATACTACAAGTTTTTGATAACCTTCTTCCTTGGCTGCTTGTACTTTACTAGAGGCAATTTTTAGCTATATTTTAAAATAAGTAAAGAGTCATATGATGACATAGCAGTTAAACATGATGCACTGTTAGGCAATTCCATACAGGAAAGTTCCCAGTTCACATCTGGAGACATCCCTATGAATGCTGATGACATATGTGCCTGTGATCTGGGGCTGGCTGAAGGCTGGGGTGAACTATAGCATCAAGACCCTGTTTGTGGTACTGTCTCTTTTTCTCTGTCTCTTGTTCATGAAGAAAATAAGCAGATGTTTGTTTGTTTTTTAAGTATTCTATGAGAAGCTATAAAATCACTAGAATTTCTTTAAGAATGAAATAAAAGAAAAGTAACCATTAAAAGGACAAGCAGGTGGCGTGGTGGTTAAGACACTGGACAAACCCACATGGCCGACCATAGTTCAAGTCCTGGACCTAGTGGCTTGCTTTCTTGCTTTCTGTCTCTCTGTAGTCAAATTGAAATAAATGAATGAATGAATAAAAATAAAATAAATAATTTTTTAAAAAGAGCCCAGTCAGCCTCAAATACATAAAGTACCTAAGATCCAATGGAATGGAGGACTGGAGGAAGGGATTGTGGTATGACCAGATCCCTGTTACTATCTCCCTCCCATCCTTTCTCTCTCTTACCCTCATATGCATGTATATGTGCTCTATCATGAATAAAGAAAAATAAATTACAGAGGGAAAAATGGTAATTTTGTAGTGAAAAAAATCTCAGCTATCACCTTGACCAAATAATCAAGGTTAACATCACCAGTTATGGAGACAAATCATGCACCTCCAGCTGTGACCCACAGAGGACACATGACTTTGGTATTATTTGCAATAAAAATAAACAACCTGAATTTAATCAAGAATATAATGCAAACCCAAATTGAGAGATTCTACAAAATAGAATCAAGTATTAACATGTTCCAGGTTAAAGTACACTAAGAAAAGGCAATATATGATCCCAGATCAGATGTGAACCTGAAAAAGGATTATCAGTAGGACAACAAAAACAAAAATGTGAATAAAGTCAAGAGGTTTGATAGTAGTAATGTTAATTTGATTTCCTAACTGTATTAATGTCAACTTCTTAGTCTTGATTATTGTAATATGGTTATATAAGATGCTAATATTTGGGGATCAGGGTGAAGGACACAGAACTCTATTATTCTTACATGATTTTGTTAACTCTGAAATCATTTCAAAATGAAAAAAAAATTTAAATATATATGGATATATAACCTAATACTCTGAAGTTCCCTTCTGGCCGACTCTTCTGCCATCTGTGAGGCCCGCAATTTCTCTTCACACTGATCCTTTTCAGATTGCCTCCAGACATCACGTTCCACTTTCATTTTCTCTAAATCTGCTAATCTGTTCTCAAGTTCTAGCCTAAAACAACAGATGATAATTATGTTATAAGAACTACAATAAAGATGATACAAAAGCAAAACATTTTCATTCCAAGGAGCCTTAACATAAACCAAGGTAATTACTTACTTTTCATCTTGTAATACTACAAGTTTTTGATAACCTTCTTCCTTGGCTGCTTGTACTTTACGTATTAATTCACGATCCTTTTCTACTAAGAGCACTTTGTGGTGTTCAATAGCTGATTTAAGAATTTCATTGTCTGACTGTAATCCTATTATTTTTTTAAGAAGAAAAATATACTATATTTAATGTTAAAATGAAAAATCACAATTAACAGCAAGTATTTATAAGCTAGTAAAACTATTAAAAGAATGTAGAAATTCCCTCTGGATATGTATTCTCAAAGATCCTTACATTACTGATAAATTTTCTTAATATAAAGCAGACTACTCTTGGAGTTAATTTTTCATTAGTTTAGCACATATACACACACAAATCTTTAATAATAAAAGGCTGGTACTTTCACTCATTTGAATCTTAATAGCTGAGGCAACTAACCTGAATGACATCCAAAGAGGCTTACTTAACTTCACCTCTAAAGGCATGCTGGCATGGTGGTTAAAGGCGCTGGATTCCCACATGGCCGACCGTGGTTCAATTCCTGGACCTGGCGGCTTGCTTTCTCACTCTCTCTCCCTCTCTCTCTCTCACTCTGCCCCTCTCTGGTCAAACTGAAATAAAACAAATAAATAAATAATAAATAAAAAGTTAAATAAAATAATTATTTAAAAAAATAAATAAAAGCACGCTACAGCGTAATTTCCAAAGAGCATCCTAACAAAGCTAGCCTCTAACAAAAGGAATAAAGTCACAAAACCCTTCAAAATCTAAGTCTAGTAAAACTGCTAGATTTCTATCAAAAAATATATGTAAATAATAAGGAAACTTTCCTGTCTGTCCAATGAATTAAGAAAATATTCTTTGTTACCACAAAGTGGAATAACTAAAGTAAATTTCTTTTTTGACGTAAGGAATATGCACTCATCAGAGAGAGACAGAGAGGGAGAGTGAAAAGTCATCCCCCAGGGGGGATAGCCTTGCTGCAATTCCTCCTTCTCTAGTTTCCTCTCAGGATTTTGAGCACACACACACACGCACACACACACACATGCATGCACATGTGGCATGATTTTCAAGCCATTGGTCCAGGACTCACACCATGGTCAGCCACATGAGAGTCCAGGGCTTTAACCACGACACCATCTGAATTAATTTCTAATTCAAAATTAAAACAGAATACAGTACTAGATCCCAAACTATTTAAGTTCCTACAAAATTTATTCCCTAATTCTGTAGAAATCCTTGATTCAACATCAAGCAGAAATAGTAAAATTAATCATTCTTCATAAACTTTGTCTGAAACTACAGAGGCCAGTTAAACTACAGACCAACTCAAAGACAGATGCAGGCCAAGGACAGCTTTCTTTTTTTTCTTCCTTTTTTGGAGAGTTTTTTGCTATAGGGTGCATGCGCTCACCAGATAGACAGAAAGCGAGAAATCCCCCCCCAGGGGGATGGCCACACCATAATCCCTTCTCCTCCATTCTCCTCTCAAGATCTTGGGCACACATGCACACACGCCTGGCATGAGTTTAAACCACCGGGTCTGGGACTCGAACAGCAGTCTATTACATGGGAGTCCAGTGACATAGCCACTGCACTAACTGCTGGTCCCCAAGAACAGCTTATTTAAGTACTTAATAAACAATAAAAAGATTTAGATAAGATGAACATTCTAAGACTAAACTGGAGCTTTAAAATAAGTCCACGCTTAAGATTCCAATAACTGGCCTAGGGTATACCTTAAAAAAAAATAGGCCTAGAATCAACCTATCTCAACTTATATTCTTTAGATATAAAATGTCTAGAACTAACAACCACAAAAGCTAAATAGATTTAAAATTGTAAACCTTCTAGGAAGTATGAAATTCCATTCTCAAAGTTTCAATTAATTTATGTAAAAATCATATAACTATGACATAAGCATAAGATTTTTTAAAAATCACACAATGAATGTAACATCAACATAAAAGCAAAAACATTCCATATCTACTCCAGGATTAAAATTCAATTAAACAGAAAATCTGAAAGTGAAAATTCAGGTTGGTGTATCATAATAGTTTGAGTTCATATCTGAAAATAACAGTAAAAGCAGGGGAAATCATATATTACCATCCAGTTCACTTTGAATCTTATTCCTTTCTCTTTCTAGTTCGCTCTTAGCTCTTGCTGCCTCCAATTTGATGTCTGTTATTTCTAGTTTGTTTGAATGTTTAAGTTCTTTTACCTGTTGATAATTATAAACTGAAATTACTATTGAGAGAAAAAGAAAGTATTCTAGGTAGAAGGAACAGAATATGAAGCTATAGTTATATAGGTATAATATCACATAGTCTGCTCTTAAAACAATTAATTAATGTACTATGGGTAGAGAAGAGGGAGCCATGAAATCTATGGAGGAATGGCAGATAATAAACTTTGTATGTCATACAAAGGGATCATTTGTCCTCTCAGCTACTGAAGGGGGCACAATTAACTTTGTTTCGGAAAGTTAACTCTGATTACAAAAGGGCTGCATTATGAAAATGAAAGTAATCAATTAAGAGGCAAGGAATTAATAAATGGATCAAAAAGGAAGAACTAACTGAATTTGGTAACTAAATTATATCCACACATAGACATGGTCATGCACATATAAAAGATCGAGAAGGAACAAGTATAATTTATATAAATCTAATCCTTTATTAGCAAAACCTGATCTTTTAAAGCCATAAGTGAATGTGATTAACTGCCAATACTTTGCATAAAATTAACCCATCACATACCATACTTTTGTCTTCACTGAGGTATCCCTTTAAGACTTAAATCATTCTAGCTCATTACTAGTATTCTGTTACTCAGTAATATATATTGAACACCCATTACTTGTGAGGCACTGTTTTAAGGACTGGGACATAAAAGCAAACAAGAAGGTTTTGTCTTGCCAATTATCTGCACTATTCTCTAACATTTTCCATAGCCCTTCCCTTTGATGAGGTGCTTCTAAAATTAAGTCTATAGTAGTATAATAAAGATTTAATAAATACACATATGAAGGTTATATAAACTTGTGTTCTGACATATTACATGAATGTATAAAACCACGGAATCAAGTAGACAACTACTAATAATCATGCATTCCATAACAAGGTTTTGGTGAACAATGGACCACAAAGATGATGGTGATCCCATCAGGAGCATACAGGCTTTACCGTATAGCCTAAGTGCGGCAGCAGGCTACACTCTCTAGGATTGTGGAAGTATACACTATGATGTCTGTACACAACAAAGTCACCTGACAACACATTCCTCCCAATGTTTCCCTATCATTATGTGACACATGACCATATAAACAAGTCAATATATAAAATGGGAGAAGGTGGGAACAGGAGAGAAAAAGGAAATTTACTTAGAGTTCAAAACTGAAGCTGGAAGTTAGATATAAATCAAGATGAAGTCCTAGCCAAAGAGGTTAGGAGGAAAAATACAGGTGTCTTATTGGAGAAGAGACTTCATCTACGAAGGTCCTAAAAATGTTGCTAGGAATGGTTTCATGTAAAATTCTCACATAAAGGAAGTAAACAGTAAAGTACTGTGCTGCCTTTATACTGTTAACTATAACAAGACATCCTCCGAATTAATTTGTAGATTTTGAAACACCTACATAAAATGGCCACTTGTACTAACACCAATTTTGCATTTTTAAATCTCCCTTCTGAAGATGTGTTCTAAAAAAGAAAATCACATAAAATGATGTTTAACTACATGAAAACAGCTAAAAAACTATATTATAATACTTAAATTTCTGTAAATTGGGTTTTAACTACATTATAATTTCATGGACAGATAGAATTTAAATTATAAATGCTTTTAAAATTTGAAGAAATACAACTATAATGAAACTCCACTCACTATGACAAATGTAATTATAACTTGCTATTATATATGCTCTGCAAAAGGTTAAGAATGACACAGCAGTTCATTAACAAACCACACTGCAGCTGCTTTAAATATGAGGTGGAAAATTAGAACCATCTTATTTCATAGAAAGTTGATTCATGGTAACTTCAAGAAGAACTACAAAATAAAAGTCTATTTCTTATTAATTTAATCCTTAGGTTTACTAAAATGAGAAAATATTTTCAGCTAAACTGTAATGACTGAAAGTGAAAGAACACTGGACAGAAAGTCAAGCAACAAGTGAGGTCCCATTTCAAGTCTACTTTTGCTGTTATTCTCATGGTATACACTTAATGCTATGTAACTATCCCCTCTGCATTTAAATTTACTCATTTAAATCTTTCTTTAGTGCCATATCTCTATAATCCTAAAATAATTATCACACTTAAACTAACAGTAATTGTTAACTTCCTAAAAATACACTACCAGGAATTATGTTATCTATTAAACATAAAAAGCTTACATGAAAATTACCAAATAATGACAAATAGTGCTTTTCTATGAGTGATATGAACAAAATTCCCAATAGACATTATAATAAAGTTTCTTTCTGCCCTTAGACTCTGGTTCTTAATCCTCTATGTAATCAGGTCCCCAAATGCTGGAAAACTCAGAATTTTTTCCAAAATAAAATTCACAATATTAAAATGTTGTATATGGGGGCAGTGGGTACATGGTGGTTAAGGTGCTGGACTCCCACATGGCTGACCACAATTCGAATCCTGGACCTGGTGGCTTGCCCTCACTCTCTCATAAGCACATGTGCCCATACAAATTAAAATAATAATAAATAGACTTCCATCTTCAGACCCCTGGAGTAAGGGATTCTAAGGTAGGGCTCCCCGCCCAGCTGCAGCCCCAGAACTCCCGAGCCAGAGACCCCTATCTCTGTCAGCCAGAGAGATCTAGAATTACAGGTCTGAAAAATTCTAGTATTTTAAGACTCTCTGAGATCCTCCTTTTTACTGAACCACCTGTGAAACAGAAGATACTTTTCTTCATACACCTGAATAGAATAATCCTCCTTGGATCACACTGCTAAACACAACAGGAGAGAGACTTCAGTAGTCTCCAGTCCACAGCAAAAGGGAAACACACTTGCTCCTATTCGAGGAACCATGCTCTTAAAAGGTATTCCAAAGTGAACATATCTCCCAATGGTTAGAAGTAGAAGAAGAGCCTCAGTACTGAATAAAGCAGGAAATATGTCTCCATCAAAGGAACATAGTGACTCCCTTCCATTTCTTAAAAAAAAAAAGACAATGTTACCAAAATGTCCGATAAAGAATTTAGAACATTCATGATGAACAAATTCTATGAGTTGGAACAGAAAAGAGACAATGAACTACAGGAGATGAGAAAGTCCTTACATTATATGAAAGAAGAAATGGACACTCTAAGAAAGAATCAGATGGAACTATTAGAGGTGAAGTCTGTAATACAGGAAATCAAAAACTCTCTCAAACGTATTAAAAGTTGATTAGACCATGCTGAAGATCGAATCTCTGATGTAAAAGATAAAATTTCTGTCCCAGAGAAAACCACCAAATAGAGAAAATAACAAAAAAAAATTAAATAAAATAAGGATAACATACGAGAAATACTAGATTCCATTAGACACCCTAAGGTTAAGGTGCTGGACTCCCACATGGCTGACCACAATTCGAATCCTGGACCTGGTGGCTTGCCCTCACTCTCTCATAAGCACATGTGCCCATACAAATTAAAATAATAATAAATAGACTTCCATCTTCAGACCCCTGGAGTAAGGGATTCTAAGGTAGGGCTCCCCGCCCAGCTGCAGCCCCAGAACTCCCGAGCCAGAGACCCCTATCTCTGTCAGCCAGAGAGATCTAGAATTACAGGTCTGAAAAATTCTAGTATTTTAAGACTCTCTGAGATCCTCCTTTTTACTGAACCACCTGTGAAACAGAAGATACTTTTCTTCATACACCTGAATAGAATAATCCTCCTTGGATCACACTGCTAAACACAACAGGAGAGAGACTTCAGTAGTCTCCAGTCCACAGCAAAAGGGAAACACACTTGCTCCTATTCGAGGAACCATGCTCTTAAAAGGTATTCCAAAGTGAACATATCTCCCAATGGTTAGAAGTAGAAGAAGAGCCTCAGTACTGAATAAAGCAGGAAATATGTCTCCATCAAAGGAACATAGTGACTCCCTTCCATTTCTTAAAAAAAAAAAGACAATGTTACCAAAATGTCCGATAAAGAATTTAGAACATTCATGATGAACAAATTCTATGAGTTGGAACAGAAAAGAGACAATGAACTACAGGAGATGAGAAAGTCCTTACATTATATGAAAGAAGAAATGGACACTCTAAGAAAGAATCAGATGGAACTATTAGAGGTGAAGTCTGTAATACAGGAAATCAAAAACTCTCTCAAACGTATTAAAAGTTGATTAGACCATGCTGAAGATCGAATCTCTGATGTAAAAGATAAAATTTCTGTCCCAGAGAAAACCACCAAATAGAGAAAATAACAAAAAAAAATTAAATAAAATAAGGATAACATACGAGAAATACTAGATTCCATTAGACACCCTAACATCTGAATAATTGATATCCCAAAAGATGAAGAAACTAATAAGGGCATGGAAAACCTATTCCATGAAATCTTGGAAGAAAATTTCCCAAGTCTAGAGAGGCACTCAAACATCCAGACCCAAGAAATTCAAAAGACCCCCAAATAGAATCAACCCCAGAAGATCTTCCCCAAGGCACATCTTAGCCAGACTGGCAAAGATCACAGATAAAGATAAGATACTAAAACTGGCAAGATACTAAAACTGGCAAGACAGAAACGACAAGTGACTTACAAAGGTCACACCATCAGGCTAGCACTGGACTTCTCAACGGAAACAATGCAAGCAAGAAAAGAATGGGAAGATGTATTGAGTGTTCAGAGAGAAACAATTTCAACCAAGATTATTATATCCTGAAAGATTATCCTTCATATGGGAAAAACAGATTAAAATCTTCTCAGACAAACAAAACCTAAAAGAATTTGCCAACACCAGGCCAGCTCTCCAAGAAACCCTGAAGAAAGTACTGTTCCAGGAAAACTAAAGTAATAGCCAGAAAAAAAAAAAAAAAAAAAGGAAAAAAAGGCAACAAAGACAATGGCCAACTTAAACCTCGGGACAAGCC